AATGGAAGCTTTATACACGACATACACACATATGTGTAGAAACGAAGTGAACAATGACAAATAATTCGCTGCATGATGATAATTATTGATTGATTACGATGACGCCGACTGTAATCGGTAGATTCGATAGGAATTATGGTCTACCTAACGGTAGAGACTAAAATCGATTATTTTTCAAGAAGAGAAAAGACAAGTTTGTACTTTGAAAGATTGGTGTAGTTATAGAATGCGTGACAATTGAGATGAAAACAATAATTGTTTGAAAAAAAAAAGTGGATGAAATAAAATATAAGTTCTTTCTTTGATGTTCGAAGAGTTCAATAATGAGAGTAGAAATCATTGCTATCGAAGGTTGTTTTGATCACAATTGAAAAAAAGAGAAAAATTAGTAGAGAAAATGAGTAGGAAACCATTCTTTTTGAGCTTAATATGTATTATGAGATTGAAAAATTGTTCTTCAGCAGAATATTGGATTTTTTCAGACACTTCTGAAAGAGTATTCAGAAAACCGAGAACACATCGGAAAATCAATAATTCGCATGAGTCATCGCAAGCATCACTTTGCTACAACCTTGACAATAACAAAACAAAACGCGAAAAGGGAAATGAAATGTTCTTCACAACTTCCGAAAACCACAATTTCATTAATTCTGAAGCAAAAACCAAAGAAAACAGAAAATGAGAGAAAAAAGAACGAGAGATAGCTCTGAATGGGTGTATTAGGGTTGGATGAAGGGGGGGGGAATGTTTTTGTAACATCGCTGATTGGCGCTTTTTAAACGAAATAGCTTTCAACTAATATCGAATGCAGAACCGAACACACCATTGACACACATCTCATTGCTTTGCTAGCGGACAAAACTCCCTCCTCTACGCGCAGCTGTCTGCACCCTGTCATTTATGTATGCTCTTTCTTTAGTCTATGTTAGTTTTGCGATAGAGACTGTGTACACTCTATTCTTCTTTTTTCTCTTCTCTTAGAACCCCCATCATCCCCAAGCAAGCCAGGCTGCCCCCCACCCTTTTTCCTGATCTTTAGACATAACGGCTTTTTGAGAGAGTTTAAGAAAGAAATAAATTGAAGACCGGTCTAAGTTTCCTAAATGAGCGTTTCCAAGTGATGAACATATTCTTATAATACAATCTCAATAGTAAACATTGCTTTTTGTGTTTCAAGCAGTTAGAATAATAGTTTTATCGATCGCAAGCGCCTACCGTAAAGAATAATATTCAAATTACCAAAAAAAGCATTCAGAGCAGATGTTTTGCTCGAAGAAAAAAACGGAGGGGGAGGAATGAGAAAAAAAGAAAGAATGGCAGCCAAATGCTTCGAAAAGCTGGATTATACATCTACACACACACACATACATGTGCGGTTTCATTTGAATATATATATATATGTGCATGTATGTATGTAGAAGTGTAGAAGCTATTCAGCTTCATAATAATAATGAAATATTCAAAAATGATAAGAAAAATGTCAATCATTCTCAATTGGCTGCTTCCATAGCTCTAAGAGTATGACCTGAGTGGAGTGTAAGCGATTAAATTTTGTGGTCGACAACGCTAAAGCCAGTTTGGTTGCATTGCTTTAGCGAACAAAAACCAACGGTCAAGCAGAGCTAGTTGGCAATAAATTATTCATTCACTTCGTTCCATTTGCATGCAATGAGTATCTTATTACTGAATATTCACTTAACGACTTAAGATTATAGCTTAGGAAAGAAGCTCAAAGTGAAAAAATGTTTTTAATAATATTGAGAAATCCATTTTATTCAAATAAAAAGACACATAATATATTAAATAAAAATTGGGAGACAGAGAGACACACAGAATGAGAGATAGAACAGAAAGAAATAGAGTTGGAGAGAGTACAGTATGGTAGAGGGAAATTGGCGGGAAAAAATAGAACGAACAAAAAAATAATTTTCTTTTCTTATCTAATAACAACCTGCTTTTCTTTTCTTCTATAAGGCAATATATATATATATATATATATATATATGAGTTTTGTAAAACAAAGTGAAAAATTCTTTTTTTTTCTTTTCTTGTGAACAAGGTTCACTTAATACAAAAAGAAATAATGCGATCAATTTTATGAAGAAAAAAAGATGTTAGGCACTTACACAAACAGAATGTTTGTATGATTGTAAAAACATGAGATAGGGTTAGATAGAGTTATATAAATATTTTTTTTTCTTTTTTAAATATATATAAAATACAAAATATAATAATAAAACAATAATAAACAAACATATGAATGATTTAAGCTGTCTATTGATTCTTATTTGATAGAACAATCAGTTAACTTATTCAATAAGATAACTAATATAAGAAACATATAAACATGTTATGTCAATAGAGTGATGGATGTTATAAACACTTTTTTTTCTCTTTTAAAGATAACAAATTAGAATTGAATTCATGGGATACCTAATTCCAATTATTCGAAATAGGCTCATTATTTGATATTCATAACAAGTTTAACTGAAAATTTAGGTTTTTTTCCAACTTGCAGTCGGAATAGAAATGGCCAAATCTCATTCACTAATGCTGTCCATTTGAATATCCTTGTCGAGGCTGATTGATGAGATAGTTGAACGAGTTTGTAGGATGACCATGAATGTTCATGGATACTTTCCTTGCATCGTGAACATAGCCGCCATTTCGCTGAAATTAAGGACGATGCTATTTGCAGAAGGAACAAACATTCATCGAAAAGATTGTGAAAAAAAATCTTTTCAAAACTCACATTATAGTATTCGTTTGGTTGAGCAGTAGGTTGAACATAAGACTCAGTCTGCGGAACAGAGTACTGTACGAACTGCTGATCATCCACGCGTTGAGGATGAGATGCCATCTTATAACCAGAATTGTACATTTCACCTCTGAAGAATTTATAAGATCATATGATAAATAGGTGCGATTCAACTTACCCAAATAAGTCTGGCGGATAATCAGGAGCAGTTGGAACGTTGCTGGTGTTCACATTACTACTCACATGAGTTTGAGCTTGCTGTTCAGCAATTTCATGTGGACGTGGTTTCAAGAACGGGTGCCTGACAGCATAGTAAGGAGATATTCTGCTGGCAGGGTCGAAATGCAACATTCTCTTGATCAAGTCCTGGAAAAATTACTTTTGAACTGATGAAAAAATATAAACGAACTACCTTGAACTTCATATAATCTTCAAAGGAATGTCCAGATTCTCCAGCTCTTCTACCACCCGGTCCACCTGATGAAACACCAAGAATATCTTGCAGCTTACGATATCCAGGAGGCTTATAGTTATTCTTATATTCATCTCTAATCTTTTTGCAATAGTACAACCCGTCTGAAAACAACAATATATTTCTCTTTCATATTGTTTTGTCCTAATTTGCATACCTTCCATCATATCAAAATATTTGTGAGTTTTTGTACCACGATCTAACAAATGCTTTGGTGGAATACCCAATACTTCCACAATTTTCATCATCTGATCAACTTCTGATGCTCCGGCAAACAATGGCTCTCCAGTATGCATTTCAACAAGAATGCATCCTATAACAGATGATATTTTCTCATAATTTATGATAATCATACCTAAAGACCACATATCAATCTTTGTATCATAATCGATACCCAACAGTACTTCAGGAGATCGATAAAATCTAAAAAATAAATATTTGATGAAAGAACTCAAAAAACAAACAAACCTTGATTGAATATATTGATAGATTCGATGACCCGTTTGACATGACGATCCAAAATCAATTATTTTAATTTGAGATCTAAAAAGAGAGATTGATAATAGTTCATTTTTAGACACTATGTACCTTTTTGGATTAATCAATAAGATATTTTCGGGTTTCAAATCACAATGAATAATAGAAAGATCAGGCTGAGATAGAAACAGCAATGTTTTGGTCAACTGTAATGATCAACGTTATTATTCTATGATATTGCTATCAATCACTAACCTGTTGCGCGAATTTTCGTGTCAAATTCAGCGATACGCCACGGAAACTTGTATTTCTCAACAAGTCATACAGATTGATTGATAACAGCTCAAAAACAAGACACAAATGGTTTCGGTGCACAAAATGACTTTTAAGTTCAACTGGAAATTTTATAAGAATGAGTCGTTTTCTAATATTTTGCTTTTTCTTACCAACGTTATACTTGTTGTCACGATCGTGTGCATTCATCATTTCAAGAATCTTTATCTCAATTTGAGCTTGATCAAAGAATGTTTTCTTGTTTTTGATGATTTTGATGGCTACATCTTCGTTTGTAACGCTATCAAATGCTCTTGTGACCTGTCCGAATGAACCTTTACCTATTGGCTTATCAGCATAAATTCGATATCTAAAGGAAAATGATGAGTCAAATGCCAAATGCCAAGGATTGAGTATTTTGCTATAATTGTAGACATGATGATTCAATTCACCTGTTGTTAAGAATTTCGCCTTCCTTCAGGATATAATCAAAGTTCTGATCATCATAGCCTCCATTGTGTGGACCAGTCCTGATGATTAATCGAAATTTGTGTTATAAACACTATTTCTTCATTCATCTTACCTGCTTGGCTGGCGAATTTTGATCACTTCAATATGTTTTTGAATTGATTCCGGAAGTGATGAAGGTAATGATGTTGGAACAACAACTTGAGTTGCTTGAGGGATTGTTATATCAAAATGTGGAAGTCTAAACATATATTTTTATGTTTTTTGATTGCACAATGTATGTCATACGCTTTTCCGTTGTTATAATATTCCTCTGTTAGATCAGATGTTTGACCAACTTGTTGATCAACTTTGTGTGGAGGATGAAGACGCATAAGTTCATCTTTGAGTTGTTCATGCCTTGCTCTTGCTCGTTTTTTATAAAAACTCTGAAAAGTGATTTGAGTTATATGAATATATGTAGGATAAACTACTTCATTGATCTTTTTGTAAGTTTTGATGAGTTCATGAGTCAACTTGTAAACAGGAGCAGTTTCATGGTCGCGACAGATAAGTTGCTTTGACGGATCTAGTTCAACATCTAAAGATCAAGTTTTAAAAAGATTTTAAAAGCATTTCACTTACGATTATGACCAGGATGCAAGTACACGACCCCTTGATGAACAACCGGATGATAAGTAGTGACTCCACCAACAACTGTTGTCATCACTTTTCGGGGAGGAATAGACGGCGTAAAACTATAGTTAGAATTAGGTACTGCGTGCTTTGGTAAAGGTTGCTGAATAGGATGGCTATTTTGATTGTTACGTCGCAAGTTTGGAAAGTTTTGATTAGGATGAAATTGCTGTTGTTGAGCAGGGTTAGGTCGTTGAAAAGTAGAATCTGAGGGATTCTGCTGCTGTGATGATGGCGGTTGAGACTGGGCAGACTGATGTTGAGGCAAATATTGATGATTTGTTTGCTGAGGATAGCGCGAATATGAAATGCTCTGTGATGGTTGTTGTATTTGTTGCTGCTGGTGTTGGAGCTGAATGTGATGAGGTTGAAATGGAACGTAAAGAGCACTGGTTGTTGAGGGTAACTGAGAATACGCTATACTCGTGGTCTGCTGAGGCACGCCTGTTGATGCTACCATTACACCATGAACATACGACGAAGTGGACGGCTGTTGCTGATGATGGGAAATGATAGATGCCGGTAGTACATTCATAGGTTGCATGGCGTTCGCTGATCCATTGATAGATTTTTGCTGTTCCATCAAGTTTGCTGATGACAAAGCTGTTTGAAGATACTCTTGTGGATGCTCTTGATATACAAGTGGAGCATTCGCTATTTGATCTGGTACCATACTGTGGTCAGAAATACCATAATCAATGCCAACTTGAGGATCAAATTGCATCATATTGGAAACCATATCCTGCGTATGCATAGGCATCATCATACCATTCGCTTGACACGGTAGTACAACATGATTTGGAACTTCATACTGCGCAAACAGTTCAGGTGGTACTGGCTGATATCCGTCATGAAGATAATGTGAAGTTTCTGATTCATTAGGGAAATAGTTGTTCATCCCATCATTCATCATTACATCACATTCTACCATACCATCACCAAGCATTTCCTGGAATATCAAATAACATATTCGATAATACAAAAAGATATAAAGCTATTTGATATTAAAAAAAGGTGTTTATAGAATGAAAATCGATTGAAATGCAATATCTCTCTTACTCACTCTCTATTTCATTGTATTCACGAATGGATAGATGGTTTCGTATAATCATTCTAATAGTGAAAAAGAAAAAACAAAATAAATTTTAAAATATACTAAACGGTAGATGGGTTGAAGAAAGAATTGAAATAGAAGTCTTTTTCATTTTTCGAAAATATGAATGACCTTCCTCTTCATTCAGCTTACTTGCCTTTCACAGATGAAATAGAAATTGAGATTAAAAGTGAGAAGATTTCTTTGAATATTTCGTTTTTACATTCATTTCTCTTCTTTTCCCTTCTAAGTATATCGAAAAAATAATAAAACAGTCTTTTCGAAATGGAAACTGCAGCGAAAGGCAAGAGTGTTAATCGAATTGTTCTCAATTTACAATCATAATGAACATGGCTGACGTTTCTCAAGTTTTTCTCTCCAATTTCAAATTCTACCTGTCCTCCTTCATACACAAAAACTAGCACACAATATTTAGTTCTTGTTCATGACCGAAACTATCGAAATAATAAAAAAAAAGGCAGTCTGGTTTTGCTTGTTTTCTGCACTACAGGGGCGCTCTACAATCAATCAATTGACGAGGGCGCTATATGTGGGTCAACATTCCAGTGCACGAAAGAACGATAAAAGATAAAGAAAAGAGAACAGAGATCCAAATTAAAAGAGACAAAGAGGCATAGCGGTTATGAGAGAGGATTAGAGACAACTAATCAATAAAATCAGACGACAAACGATACTTGTACAGTATGTTCTTATGTCTACACTCTCCATTATATAACTATCTCTAAGTTTCCGAACTATCTCTATCACTCTCTTTCTCTCGTTTTCTGCTATCCAACCTATTGTCTATCTTTTTTGTATATTTCTCTCATTTCTCTTACATTAATCTGCAAATGCCTTCATTTTCAAATATAATCCAGACTGTTTTAACTGTTTTTTAGTGTTTATGCTAATGATTGTCTACCTATCTCAAATGTCCTTCAACCGGTTTACAAATCTATATGTAATCATTTTGATTTGATATCATTGTACTGAATAACATTATTTTTGAGTTGGGTCTTGAATTGTTTGCTCGCGTTGGATAGAACAGCAAACGGATGTAAATATTGAACATAAAAAAGGGAAGAGAAAGAGAAATATCTCGATAATGAAAAGGGAAAATGTCTTTGAAGAGTCTCTGAGAGACACAAGACGGACTGTAGTATAGTACATATGATAGATTATGCATATAAAACAAAAATCGAATCAATCCGTTTAATATAATATATATATATAGTTAAGTGAAAATATTTTTTCACTTTAATGCTTTTCTAACCGTTTTTTTGAAAATTTAATAATTTTACAACAAAATTGTGCGAAGAGTGAGTGGGTGATAATGATGGTGTAAATCAATACGAACTCTATAATAAATAATTTTTTCCAAAAGTCATTTATTTGAATGTTTTATAATTTATATTTGTTCAACTAAGCGCTTCTTTGTTTCATCACCAGCATGTCATATTTCGGTGACGATCATAAGGAAAGATGAACAAAACTGGTCAGCTCATCTAGCAAATAAATAGACGTCCTAAACTACTAGAGGCTTTCTCATATTTATCTAATCTTTTTCTTTCTTCTTTTTATACAGAAGTGGAGAAAATTTCTTTTTTTCATAAAATTGTTTGGTTAAAAAGGAAATGAGTAATGAAGGAGCATAATAGATAGAAGAGGTATGATGTAAGGTAAAAGAAAGATTTTTAAATACAGATTGTGTCAATAATCTACATATTTCGGAGATTTTCTTTTGTTCATTTAATTTGCGAGACAGACAGACGATTGTACTTTATGAATTGAAATGAAAAGAATATGACTATTTGGGTAAGAAAATGGATCATTCAAAAAAAATTTCTCTTTTTCGTTTAGGACATGCTATGTATGTAAGATGTTAGGGGGGAGAGGATGAGATGGAGGAAAAGCGGTATATGATAAACAGGTTTTCTCAATTGCTTCTTCTCCAAAGTTTTCATTTTCGTTTCCTCAACTATAATCTATTGTATAGTATAATCCATTCATTCAAACTGTCTTTTCTCTTTTTTGAAATACTTAAATAAAACCTCTGGTATTCTTTGTCTATTCATAGGATAATGAGAATTCTGAAAAGATTAAGAAACATTACAAAGAATGAATTATAGAAATGAATGAATGACTATTAGGTGCTTTAAGAAAAAGAGCTAGTTAGTACCTGGTTTTCGGTGCAGTCCATTTCATTTTCCCGAATATATTCATCGAGCATTTCCACATCATAGTATGGTGGTTGATCAGTTTCCATACTAAAAATATTAAAAAAAAGTTTTTTCCTTTTGAAAAGATGCGACAATGAAAAAAAGATAGACAGAGAGAGAGAGAGAACGATACATACAACATGTATAGGTGTATAGATACATAGATTCTTTGTATAAATAACTATATGAATTCATATAGAATGTACTAATTTTCAAGTATACTATAGAAAGTATCAGTAATATTACTGATAAGAATGTATCATTTTAATAATAGCTGATACTAACCATTCTTGATAACTGGGAAAATGAACTGCATCCTGAACACAGAAAGTAGGTTGAATATCCTGTAATATACGTTGGAACGATATATTTGATATATGAATTCATATTGACATACCGATAGCTCGGAATTCATGGCAAATTTTGCCGCGCAGACCGGCTGTTCCGTTCCTCAATCTTCTATCTGAAACAATTTGAGTCATCATCGGACAATGTTTGGATGCGTTGTATGTCATTTAAGATAGGGCAAAGTGGCTGTTAAAAGGTTAAAAAAAAGTGTGAAAAGTTAGTTTTTCATTGTAACAACAGCTTTCTATCTTGTACAATGACACATCATACAAAATTATTTACATGATGTTCTTTCCCACAGAAAAAACATTAAAAGACGGAGAGAGAGGGAGAGAGATAGAGAGCAAGAATCTTCTCAGATAATGAAAAGAACAAAATGAAAATAACCAACCAGATGTTAGAACAACTCTGGCTATGGAAATAACAAACTTTAAGTGAAGGTTAATATTAATAAACAAGTTAAGAGAATACTAGCTCAGATGGTCACAGATGAAATTCCAATAAAACACAATTGAACATCTGCAAATTATACAATAGGCTAACTGCTTTTTACTTGAGATTGCAGCTACAGCATAAAATGAACCAAGTGTAATATTTTTTTGTGTTCTTTCCCCCCCCCCCCCCCCTATCTTTCTCTGGTCCTTCAGCACAAATACTGACAGATGATTTTCTCTTGCTTTCCCTCTCTCTCTCTCTCTCTCTCTCTCTCTCTCTCTCTCTCTCTCCTGTCTC